TAACAAGGGTGGCATTTGGTGAACACTTTCCCCAACAAAAGGGCCGCCGGAAAATAGCCAAAAAGAAACGAAATCTTAATCGAAAAGGACCATAAGAAATTTAAGTTGGCAGATGGAAACTTGAATTCTATTACTTCATAAATGTCATTTAGTACGTGAACCATGTTTTCTTCATAAAAAACGTCACACAATATTCTGAGTGTGAGCATCTTCATAACATCACTGGCACACCGTAAAAACGACGATTTAAGTTTCGATGCATTGTGTTTCCTTCGGTAGCGTAAAACATTTACAACTTTATTTAAAAAGGATTGATTATTTCTAACATAGAAATACTTAATGTCAGCGGATATAATCAAGAAAATCTTCAAGATATTCATCACTTTCTGAATATATTTTCCGGTGCGATTCGATCTAAAATGACTAATTAGCAGTTTATTAATGAGTAATATGCATTACGTAAATATACATTTACGACGAATATTAACAATGGCATTTCCATACAAATAGTGTAATTAAAAAGTGCTTTGCCGGTATCACAAAACCTTAAAGCAAACTAAGTGGTTATGCAAGGCACGTATTTTCTACGGAAATCTAAAATCGCTTGTCGAGACTTTTCTTGTATAAATCTTACGTCTGCGCCAGCTTGCACCGGTTTAGTTTAAGAAAAAATGCAATATTTTAGTATAAAATAATATTAACACTTAAATTGATAATCATCAGCAGAATAGAGACATGATCACCGAACCGCCAATGTAAAATGTTCATACCATTTCTTGAAAAGTATGTTAGAAATCAATGGACGGAAGTAAAAATGATGAAAGTAAAAGGGAAAATAGTAGCCTAAAGCCTGAACATCGCAGGCAGCTGTCAAGAAATCAAAACCTAAAGATTAAATGATAACACACACTATAAAGTTTTATAAGATCATAATAGCAGTTATCGCACAACCGTATAAAAATGTATTTAATTCAGAATCTGCAGATGTATTCATACGGCGTTGACCATAGCTTAACTAAACAAAATGCTACTCTTGATATTTTGAAGTAACTACAGGATAAAAAGGTTTGCTATCTTATAAGTAAATGTAAATCAACACAAGAAGGATAACCTACTATCAGAAATATCATGAGGTATGTTTATACACTTATTGCGACGGACGCGCCCTCAGGCGCGTTCAGAGCTAAGTCATCTACATGGGATTTCGTCTGCTACACTCGCGCAAAGTGTCCTCAACCGATTAACAGCCCAAGAAAAAGTACATGAATTTGATCCTTTAAAACTCCCATACTATGTCGGGATATCTTAAAATCTTCCATATTTAGCCTTTTCAATTTCAAATTAAGTTATCCAAGTTAAAATATGGACGTATATGATTGATAAAAACGTTGTAGTCCCGTAGTATTATTGCGCAATTATGCAAATTACTGCCGAAACGATTTACCGCTGTCGAAAAAGTAGGACAGCAAATTATACTATAATAAAGGTGTAAGCTCTGAGTTCCAAGAAATTATTAGTAGGAAATAAATATTTCAACATTATACAAAACATTATTATTAACAAATCAAAAGTTTTTTGGACTCTAGAATAACTCGCGCATTAATAAAAGAAGAACTATTTTCGTGACTCATACCGCGGGTTTAGCTGAATATTCAGCAGTTATTAATAAATTAGATACATTTTCTAGGTCACGATATGAGTTAACCTTCGCTATTCTAAAAATAGATTCTGCTTTACCTGTGCTGATTTTCGGACAGTATGGAGTACACATTATACATGTTATAAACCAGCGGATACTTACTTTGTTCACATGCAAAACTTTTAGAAATTCTATACAATTGTAAGAAGCAAACAAGTTGAAAATGTAATTAAGTGTGAAAATGAAAAGGACAACTAAACATTATAGTGCTTTTAAAAAAAATTGTGACATTTAGATTAAAATAAAAACGATGTGCTCTGGCCCTTGCAAATAAAAAAAATCTAAAAAATACGGTGACTATTAATTGCTGATGATTTTAACCAAAAGTATTTTTAATGAGACGTACATATCCAAAAGAAATAAAAATACAAATGACTTATATTTTATTGTCTATATGCCCACTATGTTAAAACACGAAGCAATTCTAAATAACATTCTAACATGTATAATCACGGATTTATCCGTGGTATAATGTATTATGCTTGAAGTCTATTTGCATGGTTTTATTTTAGAAATATGTCGTTGAAAGTTTTTTTTCCATTTACATATCATTTCTTGGAATAAATCGATAATGACACTGATTTACAAGTTTGACCAGGGTTTTAGGCATATATTTCATTCTGCTTGAAAGTAGAAAATCTGGATTATATCAGATTGGGACACAAAATATATTGCTCCTTGTATGGAACAAATTTTCTCTGTTATATATTTTGTGTTTTATTTTTTTTTTCTAAAAAAACCCTTAATGTCTCCCCGGTTGCATGTCCGTCGCATTCAGTGCTGCAGCACTTTGATATATATTTTTATAAGCGGTTTCTCATCTTTTACGGTTTTCTATTTAAATTGCGACAAAAAGTGTTGTGCCTATTCTGATTTCATTGAATGATGGTAAGAAAATGTTCTTCAATATCATGATTGCTTTAACGATCTCAAGTTCAATAATTCCAACACCAATCCATACGGCTGCTATAAAACTCTTGTTCATCTGTTCGTTTTACAATATTGACAGAATGGAATTCTTCACAGAGCACTGGTATTTCTGTAAAGGCTTTTTGAACGCTATTATTGGAAATATTTTGTTCGCAGGATTTTGATCTTTTCATGCTTCCACGTTAAGATATGGTGCTATATTAATATCCATTTTTACAAGAAAGAAGACCAAAAGGAAGAAGAAATTAAATTTTCAGCTTCATACTTGGAGAAGGATTAACATTATATTTCGGAAAAGTAAGAAATATCATTATGTATATTTTTATTGCAGCGAATCTGTTTATATAAAATTTCTTAAATTTAATCTTTAACTAAAATGGATTTGAAATTATAAGTAAACAAAATTTCATTTCTTTTATAAGATATTTCATGTATATCTTACAATTATTGAGCTCACTATGAGCAATGTGCAAAGCTTTTTAATGATCAGAAAAAATGCGCAGTTTTTGCTAGAATATAAGTTTAGTTTTCTTTAATTACAAAAACATACTTATTTATTGATATCTGTTAACTTAAAAAAAGTTTTAGAAAATATCATTAAGGTCAATTGATGCACAATTAATAACAATTATTCTTGTCCAACCTTAAAATATAAATAGATCTAACAAATTCATAAGAACCTTCTATGATATATCAAAATATCTAAATTACGATATACTTGAAATAGTACAATAATATAAATAATGTTTGATTGTTCACACAACATTCTTTCAGTGGCATTGTAACCATATTGTTATCTTCAAGACCTTGCCACATATCTTTATATCTAATTAATTAAACGTTAATGTTTATGAACAGTTCTTTAAGATTGAATCGTTTTAATCACATTTTCTTTCGAAATGTATAATAACAAAGTTGAAAGATAATGAGAATTTGTTTAAATTTGAATTACTCTTAGTATATTTTGTGTTATTTGGTCAATTTTCTAAAAACAAATAACCTTAAATGCACATTAGATATTATATAAATGTGAATGTAATATTACTAAATCATTTGTTTTTCGATCTGAATAAGTTAGAAGATATTATTCATTTAATAAATGATTTAGTGAGTAAAAACACGAATATCGTAATAAGAGGAGACAAAAAGTAACGAAATAAGTGTTTTCCATTGTAACTGTCAAAACGTATTTAGACACATTAACTTAGCTATTCCAATTGTTCTTGTAAACTTACTAATTTATCAAAGGTTTGCATTTTCTTTTATCTTCTCTTACATTTCAGATATTCTGATTGACTGGCAATTTATTATCACTTTGATAGCTATACTCGGAGAAAGGCATTTTACCGATTTGTATACAGAAAATATTACTAAATAAAGAGTGAATTATTTTCAATTTATTTTCTTTGACAAGGAGAAGGCCCCTTGACATGAAATTAGCGTTGATTGGCAAAAGTCTAGAAGCAGTATAAGCTGGATCAAGATGACATTGAAACGGACAATCAATTTGTTGATAGCGTCTGAAGAGGAAACAACATGGAAATATTTAATCAGTGATAAAAACGGAATGTATTAAATAAGTTTTGAATCGAAAGAAGAAGTAAATGCAATATTTAGATATTTCAAATTAAGTAATTTAAAGACTTACATCATTCATCAGAGTTTGTAACTTTATTCTTAAAAAACGAAAAAATGTCTCAATATATTGAAAACATAACAATGAAGAACCATACAATAAATAATATTAGTAGGGTAATTCATGGTGATGGTGATACCTCTACGAATATTGCAATAGGCATATATAGTACAATTTTCATACTAGCAGTGATTGGAAATGGTCTTGTTATTTTGACATTGGTGCAAAATAAAAGAATGAGGACAGTGACTAACGTATTTCTGTTAAACTTAGCAATCAGTGACCTTCTCCTCGCAGTTTTCTGTATGCCTTTCACTCTTGTACCAATTATGATAAGAAACTTTATATTCGGACCATTTATGTGCATAACCATACGATACGCACAAGGTAAGAGTACAGTTTTGTTAATCGTAGACCTACAAATATGCATATATGTTTCATTAATTACAGAAAGGTGATATTAGTAGTTCACTTCATTAACGAGACTTCGTTTTAATCATAAGTATATATTACCTGGAGTTTACATATAATATCAATCGAAAACATAAAATGTTGTTTTTAGAAAGGTTTAGTGCAATTATTTACCTATACATACAATTAGTTCAAAATTAAAGAACCGGTAAACATTTTTTAATATTATTTAAAATGTCAAAATTTTTATTTATTTAGATTAATTATTAAAAAAAAGAGAATTAAAGAATCACTACAGCATGCCCAACCCGGCAAAATTGAAAATGTTACAGGTTCGGTTTGATTGCGCCTGCTCATGGACTGTACTGGAAAGTTCAAGTTACCGTCTACGACCCTTAGCACCGGGTTAAGCAGAATTTAACATTTAAACATGAAAATGGAGACATTTTGAAATAAGAAACTTCCGCAGATATTATAAGACTTATGTTTTGCACTAAATGCTGATTTGAATTTCATAACAAAATTTTACATTTTCAAGGCGGTGACGTAGAGCTACGACTATATAGTTCAATTTTATTTTATATTCCTGCAATAAGGCAGAAAATTCGTTACAATTTTATGCAGCTTTGTTAATGCACGGAAAGAGTCTATTTCAACTGTTTTTTTTCGGGCGAAGTTCGTCTGAGAATGGTTTGACTTCTTGTAAATTTTTTCAATAGATTTAAATGGTCATTGTAAAAGTACAAACTGATATCAGTGAATCTCATTGGCCTATATTAAATGAGTATAAAAATATAAAGGATCATTCCATTCCGAAACGTTCACACGTCAAAATTATGAAATAATCGGAGGGTGTATCGGGAACAAACTTTCTAGTTAATTTCTCGGACTTTTGAGATCTTGATATTTTCCTCCCAATACATATTTTACCTTTATTTTAGAATTTTCATTAATTCTCTAGTGAAGAGCTTATTCAACATAAGAAATGAATTCTTTTAAGTCATGTCCAAAATGTCGAGACTACCAATAACGTTAACGCGACATCAAATTAAAAAATAATAATACTCTCAAAACTTCTGGTACACTCAGTAGAATATGTTCAGTGTTCGTGATATATTGTTTTGATGTGCTCAAATGATTATGATATTTAAATGTCGGTATATTGTTGCATATTAATAAAGCATTATATAATATTATTGTGTGGTACATGAATACGTAAGTGTAAGAATAGATGACAGTTCTATTAAGAAATATATCTTACAGTGTTTCCTAGATCTAGAAATTATATGCTGTTACAAAAACCTATGCAAGTTGAAGCAGTTTATCCTCTTTTGAGTTGATATCTCTTTTTTCCTCCTTTTTTCAATCAGAGAGTGTACATATGAAGGATATCATTGTATTGAGTGAATTAAATTGTATGCATGAATTGTACAAGCCAATATTTAAACGACTTTCAAAATATTTAACCAAAATTTCAAAATTGATTTAGTTGTCATTGAAAGAAACTTATTAAAAAACATACTTATTTAATGATATTTTATAACCATTGAAGATAGATTCACTCAAGTGACAGCATTCTGATAATTTACCTAATTGTGATTCTGGTAATTGGTTTCAGTATTTTTCAAATCTTACATTGACTTTAATTTGCAGCCACTAATGCACATTAATATAGCTATTGAATAATAAAATTAGCTTAGACTAGGTGCAAAATCATAGTTATGAGATATTTACTTGAAGTGGGGCAAATTTTTATTAATGAGGACCAAGATTTATCTTATGGAAGTTAAATTCATTATGTTTCATTATGCTATAATTACCTAAGTCTTACAAATTGCTTTTAAATTTCAATAAGCTTATGTCATCATCAGCATATCAAACTTAGTAAAATAAGAGAAAGAATAATAACACCCATTTAAGTGGTTTAGCACTCGATTGGATAAAAATGTTTTAAGTATAAGACTGAATAGAAGCACCCTATCCAATTTATCTCCTTATAATCAATTACCTTTGGATTCGTATCTTTAATGCTTCAGAGAAAAAATCAATATCAACAACAAGTCATACATATATAGCATGTAGTTCTATAGACACTTTTGCATTTTTTCAATTTCGAATTCATCTATTGCACCAAGCATGTTAGCTTTTATTTCTTTCATAGACATATCTACAATAAGATCACGCAACACTTGAACAACAGTTGTATTTTTGGTATTATGTTGTGTTCGTTATTATCATGCTCTCCAAGACAAATGGGTAATGGTTATTGTTTTATACACGAAACATTAAAATACAGGTTAATTGATATATGAATGTATAGTTTTTAATGGATATGTAAAGCGGTTAATTGCAAAAGTCCTTTTTTAATACTGTGCGCATGTTAATAACGTTATTGATACGTACTCTAATGATCATCACTGGAAAGTTAATGTTTTGCCATAAAATATCTTATAGAATAGTAGCATTAGTGTCATAATATTTCAGCTAAACATACCAATAGTATTGACAAACAATTTAAAAATGTATTTATTTAGAAGTAGTAGGCACCGAGGCGTAGCCGAGGGTAACCATATTTTTACGAGTGATGATATTTTTACTGTTACACTGAAACACATGTGTTATTTATTTTATTACCCCGAACAAAAATACTGTGATGATCTGAAATTGTCAACTAAATCTACCTGTAACAAAAATAAACCAAGAGTAACAATGACTAAACAGTCCTTACCTTTTAACTTTTAAGTGTACTTTAGGCCTACTTGAGAAGTTTTCTTTTTTTATTCTTAAAGCAAGTGATGATATCTACAAATCATAAACATACAATAAGCTAGGTTTTATTTGGAAAACAAAACACTAACCCATTTACACGGTTATAATCTGTGAAATCTGATCCTTCTGTTTCCAGAATATTCTTAGCATGGTTTTTGACAAAAAAACGATGGTATCCTATGTCTGTCTACCATATCTGTAACGTTTCACTGATAAAAAATTGTTAAATAATCCTTTGTTGCATGCTAAAATCGTCTGAATGTTCCAGTTTGACACAATTATTTACATTGCAATTACTTCCGTTGAAAACGGATGTTCACTTTATGACTATTCAACTAACAGATATTTTAAACGCGAAAAGCACACAGGGGGCGAACAAGTAAATTCTATGAGTGTCATGGTTACTCCAGAGAAGAAATTAATGTCCTATCGGGGTTTAACGTCAAAAATAAGAATGAATCGAGAAAAAATGGCGGCCATTTTATTTCATTTTATTTAGAAAATAGACCACGTGACCAGATTTTATACTGTTAAAAATACTGATACCTATGTAACAGTACAAAATTCTTAGTCACGTGGTACACTTGCATTAACAGTAAAAATAATTCCCACAGGCCTATGGGAAATTAGCATTACGAAAAAAGTGAGGGGTAATAATTCATACTGACAGCCGCTTTATTAAGTTAACGAAAGAAAATTTATTATCTTCTCATACATAATACAACTGTACATGTATTTACTTCCTTATTTTATTTTCGATATTTGTTAAAGATAAGTATTTGTTATGAATTTATTTATGTTCCCAGTCTGTTTTTTTTTCTTTATTTCAAGTATTTCTTTTGTTTCTGCTTAGAAACATACTATGCTCAAATTTGATATTAGAAAATATTGATAATTGATACACAGTCTCTTTTTCAACATTAAACAAACATGTTTTGAATAAATAGAAAATATGTATGTTATGTTTAAAACTCTACACAGTATAGGTGGTCACAATATGACTTGTAAACATCTGTCTTGTATCGAAAGTCGTGGACAGTCATCAGTATTGTTTGTTTAATTAGTTTTTCCCGATTCACAAGTGAGCTCACTATGAATTTAAACAGTATACAGCTAGCAAAAAAGTGCGAAAACCAATTTTTTTTCCCCTTAGTTTGGCCTCAAATTTTTTTTACAAATTACCTTTCGTAAATTTAAAAACCCCTTCCTACTAGACATTTAAAAACCACACAATTTTATTTCAAAGCACAGCAAAAGGGAAAATAAAGGGTTTCATCAATTTAGACACTTTTTACATGGGGAATTGTCTTTTTTTCGCATCCTCCCGTCCAGCGAACAATTTAATTTCTTTAAAGGATATTTATATTTAAACGCAAGTTAAAGATTCTAATTTGGTTTAAAAGTAAATTATTTTATTCCCCATATCCTTAAATTTTTTTGGTTTTTTATTTCTTAATTTAAGTATGTAACCTTTCATTTTTTATTTAATTTTTGTCCGTAAATAATCCGTAATTGTTATTTATTTGATTTATATTATTCTGTTAAAATTTAAGATGAATAATTAGTTTAAATAAACTGAGCACATTTCTTTGATGTTTTGTTACACGCGAAAAGGAATCTTTAACATTAATATCTTTAAAATTACCTTCTCCATTTTTATATCATCACTTCATCTTTATTTATATAACTTTTAATTTTATAGTCATTGTACACCAGATGTGGATATACTGTCAAATATTTTTTTTTTACACGTTTAATATAATTTGTAGTACTAAACTATATAAAAGTGTGTTCTGTATTAACTTTGTAGATAGTTAAATCATCTAAATATAAATCATCTAAAATGATGATCATGAAAAGTTATGTATAATAAACTATTTTAATATTCTTACACACTTTTTTATCTTTAAGTTGTATTTAAATAGAAACTTGTATAAAATACAGATGTGTAGAACGAAAAGAAGCAATATATACACATTAAAAGAAAAAAAGTAGATAGATAATAATAAATATTATTAAAAAAGTTTCGAGATTGATCTTAATTGCGAATGAAATGAACTTAGTTGAATTGATATCAGTCGGTTTTATCATATCTACTAATATATTTTTATTTTTAGGTGTGTCAGTCGGTGCAAGCTGTTTTACACTTGTTGCCATATCGCTGGAGCGTTATTTTGCAATTTGCCGACCTCTTCGTTCCCGGCAATGGCAGACTTTATCCCATGCCTATAAGATAATTGCAGTTTGCTGGGTAGTTGCATTGATTATAGTTATTCCAATAGCAGTGTCGACTCGATATGTTCGCATCCGACCTGGATTTAATGCATGTAGGGAAGAATGGGCAAATGATGATTTAGAAAAGGCATATACAGTATTCCTTGATGTAATACTTCTATTTATACCACTTTGTTTGATGACTGGTGCTTATACAAAGATAATGGCTACGCTTTGTGCTGGAATCAGCATGGATGACCCCGCTGAATGTAGCAAAGGTATGTCAGATAATGATAATGTTTCTTATACGTTTTTTTTATCGGACATACTTTATAGTTTACATAAAATGTTTGTAATAGGTAAACACTGGCTCTAAATAGTGAATACATACTTTTTAAGTTAAATACACGTATGTGCCTGTACCATTATATAATAACAACATTTATCTATGCATTTTTATATCAGTATACTGCTTTAAGGTCAAAGATCATTATGCGTTAAAAAAATAAAAGTTAACATTCGGATAGCAAAAACATTAATATCATCATGAACAAGTATTATACCGTCTTCGACGCTGTTCAATTGTTATTAATGATTGTTATATTACTCACTTAATTATCCGATATTCTTATTACAGGATATAGCAATGGTGGTGTTTCAAAATCACCCTTAATGGTGACATTGAAATACAGAGGTTCTACGCGAACAAGCTTATTAAAGAACGAAAATGCTCAAAACTTTAGTAGAAATGGTGAAAGGAATTATCTGGCTATACAAATGAAGGAAATTAGTCCATGTAGTAGTGAGGAATCAACACCCAAAAGAACAAAATTGGATCAAACGCGAATTATACGACAATCTAATCAAGAAAAAAAGCCGGGAAGCAAAACTGCGTGTAGTAAGAATGTTATTTGTCCTGGTGATTGAGTTTTTTTGTCTGCTGTCTCCTTTATACACTGTGCAACCTGGAAAAGTTTTCACCATGAAAGTATCAGAGACAATATATCTAGTTTTGTATGGTCATTTATGTTCGTCTTATCCTATCTCTCATCATGCTGTAACCCTATAACATATTGTTTTTATGAACAGACGCTTTCGGCAGTCATTTATTGCTGCTTTTAAGCGTTGCATATGCTGTAAACAAAAGTCGAGAGGTTATTTATATAACACAAACTACAACAAGCACAAGACGATTGAACGTGGGCGGATACACAAAAGGCTGAGGACACTGAATTAAGTTCAAACGACAAATCTAAGTCGTAGAAACTAAACTATTTTGTCATATTTACGTTTATCTTAGTGAAATAATGACTTAAGTTTAAAATGATACTATATACTTGTGTAAACAATCTTGATATAATTGTGTAAAAATCTTGTATAAAAATAATGCAGCAAGCCTGGCTATCACATACTGTTATTATGCTATCAAATTATGCTATCTTTACTCAACAAAAATAAAAACCTGACTTTTTTAAAAAAAAATATTTTCTAATTTGTGATTTTAAGTCTGTATTTTGTAGTATTTATCACCATATTTCTACTGTATTACTTACGTAGTAGGAGCTATTTATGCATCTTTTGACCTCTTTTTGTTAATTTAAATGGATTTTAAGTACAGATTGTAATGTGTCAAGTACTTTCTTTGTTCATTTCACAATATTTTACCTTTAAATACATTTTCAAAATTTAAATGAAAATAAGGATGAATCTAGAGGCGTGCTGCTTTAAATCAAAACATATGTAGTGAGTATTCATGTACTATGGTGCACATTGGATACATGTCTTTTGTTTTGACCGCGTATTGTCAGTAGAATGCAGGTAAGCGTAAGATTGTAATGTTTGCAGTCGATTGCGCATACAACAACGCCCGATTAGAGCGCGACGCCCATATACAGGCGGTATTCTAACTTTACGACATCGTCAGGGCCGTATTAGGAGGGCATATGCGTACCGTCACTGGCGGTGACGTGACTAGAATACTGTCTTGTTTACAGACGAGTCACGTTACAACAGACAAGTCACGTTACAATCTCACAGCCGACAGCCGTGTAATAATTTACCGTCAAAAGGGCGAAAGGTTTGCACCTGTCTGTGGATAAAAACAGCATGATCGTTTAGGTGGTGGATGCGTCATTGTATGGGGAGGGTTAATAAGTGGAAAAAAGACTCGGCTTATTGTTATACACGGCAACTTAAACACCCAGAGATACATCAACGAAGTCTTGAATGTCGAGGCTATTCCGTTTATGCAAAGAAACGGTTTCGTTGTGTTTCAATAAGACAACGCCCGTCCTCACACGGCGAGGATAACTCGCGCTCGCTCAGCTGCAGTCAACGCCAAAACCATGCAATGACAGTGCATATCTGGTATGTGCTTAGCAGAAATGTCCGACGACATCACGCCCAACAGAATATCCTCCAACTGACAAATGCATTGATGACAGAATGGAACAATCTTCAAAATAACAACGTTTCGTCAATTCTTTGGGTTGAGTGGATAATTGACGCTTTTTTTTCTTAGAGCCAGAGGTGGCCACAACCGATTTTGAATTAAATAAAAAAAAATGCATGTATTTTAAAATTGTTAATGAAATGATAGTAACCTATATGCACGTAGTCAAAATGTTATAGCCTAAAATTGATAAATTGAATTTGACCATTTCCTTATAACTAGCGTAATTTAACAAACTTAAAACATAATTAATAAACAACAAAATGCATATCAATGTTGTGCAAGCATCTCTTTGTCATGACCAATATTCGTTTTTACATTCCTGTCATCTATTTCCTGAAAATAAAAATAAAATATACACAGTCAGGTTTCTTTTTTTGCTGAGTGTATTATAGTAAAGAAATAATACTTTAATCGAGAAATGAAACATGCAATAAAGAACAAAACACAACAATTATTTCTAATAAGCACGCGTTATTAACAATCTACGATATATGGTCATTGGACATGAGTCTCAATCTTTTTTCATACTGGGAAAATCCAATTCAACCAGTGAATATGATACTACACCAAGTGAATATGATTATATAAAGCAACCCCTTTACGATCATTCTTGTTGTTGTTTTTGGGATATTATATACTTGAAATGTCACATTGAATGTACCATAATCATTGCCATATGAATAATTGAATACAACTTCGGAGGTTCTAAATACTAAATGTAAATTTCGTATTTAATAATTCAAGTCGTAAAGTGGGGCGTGGGTAGCATGCAATTGATCAGTGTCGTTTATGAACATATTCAATCAAACTGTGTTTCCAAGAATTTCAACTTTCAAGGATAGCAAAAACATTAATATCATCATGATTAAGTATTATACCGTCTTCGACGCTGTTCAATTGTTATTAATGATTGTTATATTACTCACTTAATTATCCGATATTCTTATTACAGGATATAGCAATGGTGGTGTTTAAAATCACCCTTAATGGTGACATTGAAATACAGAGGTTCTACGCGAACAATCTTATTAAAGAACGAAAATGCTCAAAACTTTAGTAGAAATGGTGAAAGGAATTATCTGGCTATACAAATGAAGGAAATTAGTCCATGTAGTAGTGAGGAATCAACACCCAAAAGAACAAAATTGGATCAAACGCGAATTATACGACAATCTAATCAAGAAAAAAGCCGGGAAGCAAAACTGCGTGTAGTAAGAATGTTTTGTCCGGGTGATTGAGTTTTTTGTCTGCTGGTCTCCTTTATACACTGTGCAAACCTGGAAAAGTTTTCACCATGAAAGTATCAGAGACAATATATCTAGTTTTGTATGGTCATTTATGTTCGTCCTATCCTATCTCTCATCATGCTGTAACCCTATAACATATTGTTTTATGAACAGACGCTTTCGCCAGTCATTTATTGCTGCTTTTAAGCGTTGCATATGCTGTAAACAAAAGTCGAGAGGTTATTTATATAACACAAACTACACAAGCACAAGACGATTGACGTGGGCGGATACACAAAAGGCTGAGGACACTGAATTAAGTTCAAACGACAAATCTAAGTCGTAGAAACTAAACTATTTTGTCATATTTACGTTTATCTTAGTGAAATAATGACTTAAGTTTAAAATGATACTATATACTTGTGTAAACAATCTTGATATAATTGTGAAAAATCTTGTATAAAAATAATGCAGCAAGCCTGGCTATCACATACTGTTATTATGCTATCAAATTATGCTATTTTTACTCAACAAAAATAAAAACCTGACTTTTTTAAAAAAAATATTTTATTTTATTTTAAGCTGCATGCCTCCAGATGACCCAAAATATTTTAAGAAAATTAAATTTTGAAAAAACATAATAAAACTTTGAGAAAAGTGAACAAATATAAGATTCAAGTGATCATTTATATCTAATGTGCAATAAAAGTCTGTATTTTGTAGTATTTATCACCATATTTCTACTGTATTACTAACGCAGTAGGAGCTATTTATGCATCTTTTGACCTCTTTTTGGTAAATTAAATGGATTTTAAGTACAGATTGTAATGTGTCAAGTACTTTCTTTGTTCATTTCACAATATTTTACCTTTAAATACATTTTAAAATTTAAATGAAAATAAGGATGAATCTAGAGGCGTGCTGCTTTAAATCAAAACATATGTAGTGAGTATTCATGTACTATGGTGCATGTCTTTTGTTTTGACCGCGTATTGTCAGTAGAATGCAGCTAAGCGTAAGATTTTATTGTTTGGGATCAAATGGACAAATAACAGTACAAAAAGAAAAAGTATTGGAAAATAATAAACAATTTTAGGGTCAAAATCAATATTTTGATCAACTTTAAAATGCCCATATCTTGTAAAAGTAACAATACATTTATTATAAAATTTCAAAACACCAATTTTATCAAGCCAATATTGTATATTTAATGCAAAAAGATAAACAATGGAGAGTATTCCAGTTTTTAATTCTGATCCTGATTTTTCTCCTTAATTCTTAGTGGACATGGGGCCTGGTTCTTTGGTTTAGAATGAACCATACCAGATAAATTAAATGTCTACATTCTTTTTACAAATACTGATTTTAGTTTGATCAGTGTCGTTTATGAACAGATTCAATCAAACTGTGTTTCCAAGAATTTCAACTTGTATCAGCAACCATTTTCCAATTATTTGTCCTTTGTTTTGTTTAAATATCTTGTTTTCGTGTCATTATTTCTGCTCTGTGGCGACCGTAAAAGGTCATCAGGTCCATTCAATTAGAAATGTACCATGTCCGATCGTTGAAAAAAGGTTTAAGGTAGTAATTCTTCGAAGTTCAGTTTTTTTGTAGTCTCAAACTTCTTACTTAATTTTTCTTTTGATGCATGTCTGTGAAATCCAGGCTTTATTTGCTCATATATATCTTTTCTCTCAACATATTTTATTAAGTCCCTTTTGCATCTTGTTGTTTGTTTGACATTATTTATCATTGGTATCATACGCCGGTTTTCGTGAAATGGCGTAATGAAGATTTCATGGCCATTGCCAATAAAGCGTAATTTGACTTTTTTATAAAGACTTCCTTTGATGCCTGTCGACTGTTGCTTGCATTTTATCTGACAGCAATAAACTGACGCAATCAAATTGGTTTAGCAACCTGTTATTTATTTTAACAATATTTCAGCTGCACAGAACAGATCAAAATTTATTTATGTAAGCCACCAGTCAATAACATATAACATTGTAACATTAAAAATGTCTAAAGTGTGGATACACTCACATCGATATATTATAACAGTTCTCACACATAACATTACTAGAGATAAAATATAGATGTAACTTAATCAAATTTGCATTTTCATCTTTTTTTTTAATTGTTTGATGATAACCACAATTGGCAAGATATTTTTTATTTTCATTTTTATATGAGAATAATAAACTCAATTTGTAAATACTCTTGAACAAGCTTAATATTTCTTAGAAATATATTTTAATTCTAAATCTGCATATACCGGACAGACAAGTGGAAAATAAATTCATTTTGAAAAACTCCAACTCCTTAAATTACAATTCCAATCATTTGAGTTCCTCTTTCTATAAAATTTAAGTTACTCCGAAAGGTGACAGACCTGAATGTAATTGAGAGTAGCAATATCTGCATTTCTTGATATTTAAAATAGATATACAAGAAAATCATTGATGCAAAGCATCAAAGGGCGACGCCAAAAGAATTTGATCCAGATTTGCACCTAAATACTTAACAAAAGATGTGTACTTTATAGCAGTACCATTACATGTGACCTGGAGGCTAGGGCCAGTTTAAGTTGAAACTTAAACCAAAAAAGAATAGACTCTGTCTTGCCAAGATGCAAAGACAATTTATAGTCAATTAAGCAATCTTATAAGACTCATGCTATAAGAAAGAATTTCTTCAGATTTATTTTATGAGACACAAGGATTCCTGAGTCATCAGCATATAATCACAGGCACGAGTATCGGACCTGGGAAGAAAAAATATGACCAGATGACCAGATTGATAAAAAAAATAAAATAAAAACCAAAAAAAAAAAAATGTAAATAATGATCCCCTTTAAAAATATACTATCAACTTGAAGTATATTTTTAAAGGGGGTCATTATTTACATTTTATTTTGGTTGTTGACACTTTTAAGATGAACACAGGTTTTTTTATCAATCTGGCCATATTTTTTCTTCCAAGGTCTGATACTCGTGCCTGTGCATTATAATAAAAGCTTACTGCTTAGGGTTGAAGACATGTAATTGACATATATTAGACATAAAAGAGGACCTAAAATGAACATCAGGGGGACAGCATAGGTACTCAGAGCAGTAGTAGAATTAGTACCAGCCATATCAACCAGCTACTATCAGAGATAATACTTAAACCATGTAAGAATGTCATTATATATGGCAGATGCTTGAAGTTTCATGAAGAAGAAGAAAAACAACTTCTTGATGTGCAGTATAGTGTGTTCAACTGTATCAAATGCCCTTTGTAGATCTAAAAGTATCATGCAATACTGCCTTTGTCCATTTCAAATAATGCAATCTGTTAAATGAATCAAACATGTGTCAACTGAAAAACCACTTCTAAACCCTGACTGAAACTGCCTGACCATGACTCGAACCCATGACTTTCAGAAGACCAACTGAGCTATCCGGCCTGCTACACATTTTCTCTTTAATAATGAAACAGTTCTAAACCACAACATATTTCCCCACTATATCGATTTTTGTTCGTGAATTTCTTATGTTACAGAGCATAGGAAATTGAACTCATGCTTATATGCAGTCACAGGATGAGAAAAACCTTGAGCTTGACCAGAACTCAAACCTGTGACCAACATAAGAAATTTTATGAAGGCTGATTTGTATTTTGCATCAAGGGCACCGGGCAAAAACATGAAAATGCAACAAACAAACCACTTTGTGGTAGATTGTATTTTCATGTTTTCATCTGGCGCCCAGTTACTTTTTGTACTGTATTGGTTTTCATGTGGCACAAATCACCCACTATAAATTTAGTGCACAAATTTATTCAAGGGAAAGTAACAATCAACTCTATGTACAGTCTGTTGTCGGGTTGACTCAGGAGACCTGGAGGTTGAGACCGGTGTCCCTTCATTACAAATAGATAAGACAGAAGCTGTCCTTTTCAAACTATGCACATGTTAGAAAAAAAAATAGAATAACTATTCAGAATATGATTTTTTGAGACTTTTTTAATTATATTGCTTGATCCAAGTTTAAGGACATTTTCAATCAATACATGTTTTATCATTTATAACTTTAAATGAAAGTCTCATCCCTTTAATAATAATGACATAACTGTATCTCTTTAAATGCAGAAAATTTATAAGTCTCAACATATCAATATACTACTGTCTAAGATATACATGTATGCACATAACATTAATAATTCCCAGTTTATATTAAATAAATATGAAATCCTAAAATTAACATTAACATGCTTTTGATGACCTTACAACTGGTGAATTATATACAACAAAAATAGTATTATAAGTAATACCTAAGATAGACAGAAAAGAACAAATAATTTAGTAAACATGAGTTACTTCCCCTTACAATAAATAAACCTGAAACCCAAAAGAACACCCTAAACAGCAAAATTATGAAATGCTGCAGGTTCAGTTTTATCAAGCCATGCAAATTAATGGTAAAGTATTCATAAAAAAAAGAGATGGCCATGTGTCAGCAGTAATTGCAGAAAATCGGATGGCTTTCAACATCCGGATACTGGTACACTTTGTAAAAACAACCATTCTGCGCAACAGATAAATGTAATAAGGATAAAATCAATAGGATAATCGTTTACAACAGTTCCATTACCTATCCTTATACTCAATTGCAGGTGAACTTTCTTCTTGTAGGAAAATTTTGAAAATGTATAAATGAATGAATGAACTGATACGGCCTCAATCTAGACCACAACGATATTCGAAATCCGGGTTTTAGTATTGTCATTAAAACTAAGGGACAAGCTGTTAAACTTAACCTGCAATTTCGTGAAAAAAATATCACAATGCACATGCTTTTTACATAAAGTTATTAAATACAAATATAACAACACATTTGTTTACTTGTTTTTTACGAATCAAAATAAAACTAATTAACACAACATGAAATTAACTGCTAATAATAACAGCTCCTTCCATAGGCAAAAATAAAAAGTATTCCATAATAGACGACGCCGCTCACCGGCGTCGCCAATAAGTTTCCTGGTCATAATTGTTTTAATACGATTGTACAATGAGAGACATTCACTAGTATGTAATTTGATATACCATCCTTGCAAATAATTATCTTCAAATATTTGACAAAACAAATTGAGAAACAACCTTTCATTTCGTACACCTTGGTTCAACCCAACGTGCCCAAACCAATTATTACATAACAAATATTCAATTTCGTTTGACCAGTTCAAATATTTAGCACATGTTGTACTTGATAACATTTTATAACAAACTGATGGCGCTGGTTGCTGGGTCGGGTGGGGTCTGTGTTCATTGAACGCCGCCTTTCCTTGTCGATCTTGTTTATCATAATGTGTACATACTTGTCATTAGGCAATTTCAATTATTTGAACCAATAGTTTATACAACGCTTAGCAGATTCTATAGATACATATATTGGGTACCGACCAGGATTACCTAATACTACATTATTACTAG